TGGCTTCTGCTATGCCGGGTTGTGAGGCTTTGGGTAAATGAATTAGCCTTTCTAAGCTCCTTTCCTCTTGAGGGTGGGGCTGGGAATGATGTCCACTCCAGAGGGTTGCTGGGAAGGCGTAGTTCAAGGTGGCCGCTCAACCACTATGTATGGAGTACCTACTACGTGTCAGCCTTGGTGGTTCAGTGCGGGTGACCCAGGTCCCACTCCCGGCCAGGGCACCTCACACTGCCACCCCCTGGCTGTCCACCACATTGCTCTGCTGCTCTGAGCAGGTGGTAGCTGAGCTTCCAGACTAAGACGGACTAGGGAGAAAGGCCTGGTGAGCTCCTTCTGAAAACTTGCCCGTAGAAACTTCTGGAATCCATGGTCTGACCGGCAACCCGGCATCGGGATGGGCAGCTCCAGGCAGCATGCGGTTCCATGGGGCGTGGGGGTCGCTGAATTATCGCTGATTCAATGGCAGCAAAACAACTTTTTTTCCCCGTGGTCGGAGGGGTGGGTCTAGACTCTGGAGTGTGAAGGGAGAGTAACGTGCCTCAGCGGAAAGGCCTGGTGACCTGTGACCCCAAGGCCACAGCTTTGAAAACTCCCGGGAAGACAGTTCTACCCTGCATATCTGGCGTTATGGAGAGGAACTGACAAGGAACAAGACTCAGGCCTCACCCTGGGGTGGGGGGGGGGGCTAACCACCTCCGTACGGTTGGGAACAGCAGGGTCCGGGCTCTAGAGCTGGTTGAATGAAAAACATGCCAAGGAGCGCCCCCCCCCACACACACACAAGAATGAAAGTGGGCAGAAAATATGAACAGAAACCGCAGAAACGCATGATTGAGTCAGTAACCGCTATGCTTCCTAAATTTCAACTTCGTCTTTGTTTCTAAATTTCAACTTGGTCATTGATTTCATTCTTTGCCAGAAAACACAGGTGCTGAGCGCTTGCAGCCCATGATAAGACCGACCTGCCTTGAAGAATGGTTGCCTGCACGCCTCATTAGCATAACCCAGCCCCTTTCCCCTCAAACCCCACCTTCTCCCAGACAGCCAATGAATAAGCAACGATTTTCCCGCCAAAAGCCTTTTAAAACCCAGTGGGAGCGCCCACTCGGGAGGTAGCTTCTTGGACCTTTTGGGATAGCTCCGCCTCTGTTTTTGTTGGCAGCAAGTTAAAAACAAATTCCTACTTGAATAAACAAAGGTAAATTAGGGCCCTTTGAACACTGGGTGGCTGGGTGTGTGTGGGCCGCCCAAGATCCTTAACTAGTGGCAGACTAGAGTTTCCAAGGGGCGGGCTCGAACTGCAGACCTTTGTGTTAGCAACCAAGTACTGTGCTCGCACCCACAAAACTGCGCCCCCAACCAGGTGGCAGGCAGGTGGAAGGCCTGAGTGGTAGTTATATAATTGTCAATTTGAGAGGGTTGAGCGAAGGGGTGGAGTCTACTCTGTCAATCCGACCATAGCCAATGAGGCTTCTGTGTGGGCCTGGCCTCTCCTGAGAATTGTGGGAAATCTGGGATTTTCCTCCTTGGAGGTGGGAGACTCCTGAGAGATAGCAGCTGAGAAGACCCAGGGACCCACCCACACAGGGACCCACCTGATGCAACCAGACCTCTGAAGCCGGAGAAGCCATGTAGAGACCCCTGCCAGCGCTGAGATGCTTACAACACCACTGGACCCAAAGACTTTCTACCCACTGGCCTATGGTCGTCCTGCATTCGTTGTCATTGCATGTGTTGCATGAGTCTGAAGAGGACTTTATAGATTGGTATCGGACATAGGGGCTAATATCGCATTTATGGCCTTGGACTGGACTGGGTTGGGATGCTTTCTCAATGTTCAATTCCTCTTGTATATAAAACTCTTTCTTATACATATGTGTGTTTATGAATTTGTTTCTCTAGTCTACCCAGACTAACACAGCCTGTGAAGATATAGGTGAGCCAGGGGGTGGAGGGACTAGGGTGCTGTTTTTCAACAGATTCAACAGGATGATCAGAAGAGGGTGAGAAAGTAAAGCCTGGAGGGGGGCGGCGCATGGAGAGACACCTAGAGGGAACAGCCAGTGCAAGGGCCCTGAGGTGGGGCATGCCTGGGTCACTGGAGGAAAAGCAAGGAAGCCAAGGGGGTCACCAAGCCTTTCTTCCTAGTCTTCACTTGTGGTAGTTACATAATCTGCTGTCCATTTGAGAGGATTAAGAGTGAAGTGGGGCGGGGGGCGCTTTAGCCTGTTAATCAGGTGGCAAGCTTGGTGATCTCATGTGGAGGTGCTAAAGGAGATAAATAGCTTGCTCGAGGTGGGGCACAGGCTGACTCCCTGGGAGACATTACAGCCGACAAGTGGAGCTACGTGGAGACCCCTGCCAGCGCTGAGATGCTTACAACTGCCACTGGATCCATAAGACTTCCCACCCACCAGCCTGTGATCTTCCTGCATTTGGCGTCATTGCATGTGTTTTGTGAGTCTGAAGAGGACTTTATACATTGGTAGCGGACATATGGGCTAATATGAGACTTATGGACTTGATCTGGACTGGGCTGGGATGTTTTCTCAATATTCAATTGCTCTTGTCTATAGAGCTCTTTCTTATACGCACATGTCCCCTGGATTTGTTTCTCTAGTCTACCTGGACTAACACACCATTCGTCTGAAAGTACCACTGAAACCTGTGCATTGTCATAGTTACGCCCAAGCCTCCACTGGTGGTCGGGTGGTAGGGTGCAAGGAGGCCAGAGAGGGATGGGGGCCTGGTCATTCAGGAGTTTGTAAGCAGGGACAGAGCGGGGGGTGGCTTGGTCTGGGCCCCCAGGACATCCACCCTGAGGGAGACCTTGACTCACCACCTTCAGTCCACCACCTCTGCAGGCACTGGCTCCTGTGGGGGAGGGATCCCGCCGAGTGGGGAGAGGGGGTGCTGAGGCGACCACCTGGGGGAGACAGAGGGTGGAGAAGGGTTATGAGTGGTCCTTCCATTCTCCTCACCGCCCCTCCCCCACCCCTCTCCATGTTCTCTTGTCTGGGGGCGGGGCAGTCAGACTCTTCTTCACTGGAGATAAAAGAGAGAATGGACAACAGGCTACACCTCAGGGAGGCACAACCAGAGGGACCAGAGACCCCATGGGGAATTACAAGTCCAGGTGCGGAAGGACCCTGTCCCCTCAGACCCAGGAGTCCAGCCCCCAGCCCCTGCTCCCTCAGACCCAGGAGTCCAGCCCCCAGCCCCTGCTCCCTCAGACCCAGGAGTCCAGCCCCCAC